TTGTCTTTCTTCTCTTTTGCTTCATCGTCTTTTGCTTTGGGTGTTGTGGAAGATGAGGTTTCAGGTGCAGTAGACGCTGATGCTTTCTTGGAGGCCGATGAGGACGATGAAGGAGGATATGTTCCAAAGATACACACCATCCAGTCGTCATCAAAGTCGACAGGCTCAAGGCGTTGAGAGTGGCTCAGTTCTCGAAGATCCTCCAAGTATTGCATCTGCCAGTGGGCGACATCACCTCGAATGATCAGTCTGAGATATGCGCTGTCGGCTCGTAGTTGTGGAGTTGGAGTCGGCTTGCTGAAGGGCATGATCAAGGCGCATACTCCTGAGACTGTCATCTTGTCTTCAAGAACCTTTCTTAGCCAGGAAAGGATCACTGGATTTGTGCTCCAGTGTACATAATCAACTTCTTTCTTGCCATTCTTCTCCTGGCTCTCAAAATCGTCGGTGCTGTCCTTGAGGATGGTGATCATGCAGTATTTGAAAAGAGCAATTTGTTCTTGATCCATGTCGAAGTTCGGCAGTGTGCCCAAGGTTGCTTTCTGAACCTTCTTGTTGTTCAGGGCTTCTTGCTTGAAGTCTGCCACTGGATCAGGAACAGGGATCTTGCCTTTTGGTCCATAGCCTTCAGGCCATTTGCCGTGTCGACATTGTCCTGGAATCAGGGTGTGTTCTTCGATGGACCATCTGCCTTCTCTGCACTTGGGACATTCATAGTAGATCTGTGTCATTGTCGTCGACCATTTCCTGATGTCCTTCAGGAGAGCATTGCAGAATTTCTTCGGATAGACAGCTGCCAGTGTGGTTCTGTTCTTTCCTTGTACTTGTCCTTGCAGCCAGCCATGCGGTCCAGCGTGTCCGCCACATCGTCGTAGTACATGATGTAGTGGCGCATCGCTGAGAAGTCCTGTAGGCTTCAGAATGGGGCGATGCTCTTCATCTTCAGCTCCAAATTGGCATTGGTCTGTTCGTTGAGGATGTCCAGGCATGTCATGGAGTTCATGCCAAAGAGCTGAGGACCAGGGCTGCTCTAGGACATAGTGTTTCTTCTGTTGACATTGCTTTACAGCACTTTCTTTGCAGAACTTCACACATGGCATTTCTTCTTGTCGTTCACGTTGAATCACTTCGGGCTCTCTCTTGTTCGAGGACACTGACCAGGGCCTGCAGTTAGGCGACATCATCAGAGTGTCGGGTGCAAACTGTTCTTGAACTTCTCGTAGAAGCTTCTGATGTGGAGGATGACCAATGTCCCAGCCGTAGCGCATGTCGACGGGGAAGAGAACGCACATGCCAGAGAGGAAAGCAAGTAGCGTCAGTCTTGCGCTGCCGTTGCACCATTCCCAGAGCTGTGTCTTCTTCTGTCGCTTCTTCTTGGAGACTCGGTCCATCCATTGCTTGACATTGTCAGGAGTGACAGGAGGGACCTTGAGATGCGTGTAAAACTCTTCGGGAATGGCTCGATACATCTTCTTGAGGTATGTGCGCTTCTCCTCTGAGATGTGACTGGGGAAGTGGTCACCTTCATATTCTTGGACTTCCTCTTCTGTGAACCAGTGGTCGTTGTGGTCCATGAGGTCAAAGTACTCAGTGTGGTAGTTCTTGTTCTCTCTCACGTCAGTGGCTGGTGGAGAGCCTTGCTCGTCAGTTGTCTTGTGGAAGAACTCGGTGAAGCCAGTCCACTTCTTGCTGAGAGGCTGTTGTAGGGAAGCATCGTTATTCCACTTGTCGTTGACAATCTCACTGGTGTCATCGAGGTAGTGAGCAGTTGTCTTTCTTCTCAGTGACAAGGTTCGCAGGTCTGCCGGGAACTTGCCTGCGAAGGGAGAGAACATATTGGTTCTCGGCCGGACGTGATGTCGAATCCAGCCAGTGGATGTTTGTTTCCAAAAATCACGGTGGTGCTGGTCCTTCTCCTTCTCCTTATCCTGACTCCTTGGTCGTGGATCATGAGGTTTATCATGCTGTGGTTCTGGAATCTCCTCGCTTGTGGTCCGATAGGTTTCATGTCTTGTTTCATCATCTCTTTGTTCTTGTTGTTCATCATGTTCATTGTGCTCATTCCGCTCAAGCCCGTGCGCCGCCTGAGTGGTATTCAGGAAGCAGTAGGCTCCTGAGACATTCACATCTTGCCAGCGAGAGTTGGAGATGTGCATCACTGCTCTCATGAAGTTCACAGTCTTGGTCTTCTCCTGGCGGTTGACTTGGTTGTCCATGTCAAGAGGAATGATGTAGTGACCTGAGTCTGTCAGCAGCAGGCGAATGAAGGTCATGTCTTCCTCTGTGGCCTGGGATGTCGTGTCAGACATACATACCATCAAGCCGTCATGGTTGGAGAACCATTCTGTGAAGATGACTGCGCGCATGTCGCGTAAACTGGGATTTGAGACGAGAGCTGGACACAGGCTTCCTTCACCTCCGAGGACATCGGCAGAGTATCGAGCTTGCTGCTTCGAATCCAACTTGAAAGGGAAGGAGATCTCTGCCATGGTCTGATCGCCTTTGCCGGAGATGCCTGTGACCGAGGTCTGCTTCTCTCGCCATTCAACTCCAGTTTCAAGACCTTGTGGCTTGATGCAGTTCTCCATGATATCTCGAAGTGTTTCGCTTCCAATCAGGCCAGCCGCTGCGCCAGGATCAACTAAGAGACCTCTGCGCTTAACTCCTTGGATCATGTGGAAGGTCTCGACAGTCTCGTTGTTGTCGCCAAAGTGCTGCATGACGGGGAAGTTGAGAACCTTCTCTTTGGGAGTAGATGCAGAGGCTGTTTGCTCTTCTTCACTTTTGTCTTCCTTCTCTTTGGTGTCATGCTTGTGGAGGTAGTCCTTCTTGACATTGCCAAAGACCTCGAAGGGCGATTCAGAAGATAGTTCAACTTTCTTCTTGGGAAGCGGAGGCACAGCTTCCTGTCGCTCAGAGATTGTAGGTCGTTCAGGTGTCAGGGCAATGCCTTCTCGAGCATGTCGAAGTAGTCGATGTTGTCGTAGTGGAGATCCATAGAGATCGTTTTCCTTCTTGGTGGCAAAGGTGTAGTCGTAGTAGCTTTTGCCTTTGTTCTTTCCTTTGCCATATTGGCCAAACTTGCCATAGCCTTTGGAGAATGGTCTGAAGCCTTTTCTTTTTCCTTTCCAACGACGAAAGCCGCCTTTGCCTTTTCCTTTGCCCTTAGGCCATGACTTTCCAGGGCCTTTGCCTCCTTTGGAGGAACCTTTGCTCATTGGGCAGGATGAGGACGAATGCCACTTGCTGCCACAAATTGTGCAGCCGATGTTGCCAAAGGATCCCGATGTTCGATATCCTTGGCCTTTTCCTTTTCCTTTGTAGTAGTCGTTGGTCTCTTCAGGAGCTTCTTGTGGTTCATCAGATTGTTGAAACCAGTCATCATAGTTTTCTTCTCCTTCAGGCCATTCTGCATAGTCAGGCCATTCACCTTCTCCATTGTCGTCTTCAAACCAGATCTGCCAGGCATCTGGGCTGTCCCATGTGTCATCAGTCCAGCTGTCTTCCATCTGGTAGTATTGCGTGTGGTAGTTGAGGCCGGTGTCATAGGAGTCGTAGTAGTCCCATGAAGTGTCATGCTCAGGCCAATTTCCACCAGAGGTTGAGGCGTAGTCATGTCGCTCTGGAGTATTCTCGTCGTAGTAGGTGTTGCCTTCCATGCTCTGGCGATGTGCCATTCTCAGAACCAGGGTCTTGGCTTCGTTGAATCTTGACATGTCACCTTGAAGCTGCATCAACACATCATCAACATGTCGTTGAGGGAGTTGAGACGCTCTGAAGAACAGGAAGGTCTTGGCGACGTTGTTGAGGTCAAGTCCTGCGTGCTTCATGGCTTCTTCGAGCCTCAGAGTCCATTCAACACTGAACTCTTGCAGGGTGAGTTTCTGCTTCCTGAAGTCGAAGAAGGCCTCAAGAGCTTTGGTGGATTGGAGTTGAGCTGAGTCTCCAAAAGCTTCACGAAGTGCGTTGGTGAGCGCTTGAACTCCTGAGGGTATGGCATGTTGGAGGATGATGTGAGGTTGAGCAGGATCTCTCACTTCATCCACTGCCAGTCTCACCAATGCACTGTCACCAACATCCACGTTGCCGAGAGGGTCAGGTAGTCGAAGCTGTAGTGCTATCTGTTGAGCTCTTCCTTGCAATCGTCCTGCCATTAGAGGACCAACAGTTTCGTCAGGGCCTTCGAACAACCTGTACCAGACTCGAAGACGTTCGAAGTAGAGCTTCAAGGGGTAGTCCGGGATGTTGGGAGCCCAGCCAGGAGGGACATCCTTTCTATACTCTTGCAAGGGTAATCCCGACACCGAGGACGGGGCAGATCCGTCCATGGCCTTCAACTCAAGGCCTTCTCAGGCTTATTCTCCCTGTCCGGAATCGTGGCCTCAAAGCCGTCAGGGATGAAGGGTCCAGGCGAGCAAGTGACCTGGATGAACGCAGCCTCCCAAAGCAGCCAGGAGCGCTAGCCAGCAGCCGAAGACCACCAGTATAGGGCTCGAGGATGCCTTGGATCGAGCGGAGTGCAGGTGCCGAAAACAGCGAAAGGCGTGCAGGTGAAAGCCAAAGCCACAGCAGCGCTATGGCAGGGAAAACCGAGGATATCAGTTAACCGAACGGGCCTATTCAAACCGGGTGGGGTCCCTGGAGCACGAAGCTCCGCTACCAAACTTGGTAGCGATACTTTTGAACTGCGAAAAGGTGCACCTGCGGTCAAGCTCAAATCTGTACGTGAGCATGCGTTCAAATCTTCATTCAATCATACCGTAATGAAACCATCAACCAACTGGATAGATTATTGTACAAAAATGTACAAAGAGAGGCGTACACTGTGCCTGCTCCAATTTCCAATACAAAGTTTTACATCGGGTGTGTGGAATGTGCACCACACATGGAACACAATTTGACATCATATAACAAACACACTAACAAACACATATACGTGTCATTTCCTTGAAGGACGTCTCCCGCGGGGTAAGCATAATCATTGAGCAACGCATAAGCGCCTCCGCCTGGCAACTCAGCACCGGCCCCAGATCGGTACCAGGTAGAAAGTTTGTTACTAAGACGCTTCGCTGTGAAAGGAGTCCAGCAGCCAAAGCCTGGAAGGCATCACCAAGCTGACATTCTTTCGCACTGTGTGACATGCTAAGACCAGGAAAGCCTGCGCCTGCGAAAAGAAAGTGTCCGCCATGGTGAAGGCATCTGGTACACATCCGTCGGCATCATATGCGTCAACAATCACCGCATCATACGGCCCAGTGGCATCAGCTTTCCCGACGGCAAATGTATCAACAGCACGGCACACAAATTGTGCACCATCTTCCAGCCACAAACGAATGTGGTCATCAGGTTGAAAGCCCATGGCTTCAAGAGATTCGATTACTGCAGGCTCGACCTCTACAACATCCACCAGGCAGCCTGGCAGCATGTCAACCAAAAATGATGGAATACTGCCACCACCAAGTCCAATACAAAGGACTTTCAGTGGCCTTTCTTCAGCCGACTCAAAGACAGGCGCGCCAACCATGACTAGCACCGACATGACGGCGCTGACAATTGACTTCGTGTAGGGCATCAGCAGGCAATTTCTGCACTGTTCTGTTTTTGCGTCGGTGTCAATGCACACTTTGTTGATGGCCTGGTCGCCAGGGTCGCTCGACAAACAGAACATTCCTGCACTGCTTCGACAAATGCTTCTTAAAAGGCTAGCGAGGGCTTGTGTTTGGTTAATGTATGTTAATTGTCAATGATGTTCTTCTAAAGTTTCAAAAGATCAACCTCCTGTGCAATCTTGAACTACCTGCAGAGTTCCAGAATCTGCAGTGTTCCCCACCGCCCCGCTCTGGCTGGAGAATGCTGGTGCACTGCTTCAAGACATGGCCATGGGGATGGGGCATGCCAGCATCTTTTGGACACTAAACCCATCTTCTGCTTGTCTGCCTGGATAAGATTTGAGCTGGCCCTTTCTGGAATAAACCGAAGCACTCGCCATTCCTGACACCATCCAGGAGGCAAAGCTTGTGTCGGCGATGCTTTGTGGGCTGTGACCTAGGAGAGGCAGTCCCGAAAGAGCCTCTAAAATTCAAACTTCAATGATGTGGGCAGCAAGTAGAACGGAGCAACTTTCAGGACAAAAACATATCACAGGCCTTTTGCAATTTGTCAAAAGAAAGGAACACGCAGCTCACCGCCAAACTTCATGGATCGACGGCGCAGTTCACGACCAGGACCCAAGATTTCGACGGTCAACGCCTCAGCAGGACTGAGATCTTGACACGAAATATGCAATCAAAGCATGAAAACACTGCACGGCAACACATTGAATCCACATGAGAGCCACCCACCGGCCTCGTGTCCGGGATCACGCGCAGCAAAGAAGCCTGGGACTGCTGCAACTGCCGCTCGAGACCGGAGACGAGGCCAGGCTTGACGGACCATGGGATGCCACGGGATGCCATTGGCCAACGGGCCGTGAAGTCTTCATCTCAAACGTTGGGAAGAAAATGATATAGAACCAACTTGCATTGTTGCATTTTCTAGTTTCTAACATATCTTCGAACATCCTTTCAGACTTCACGATGATTATTATATACAAATTGTTTCTCCGTGGGGTCAGGAACTTGGTTGAGAGCAAAGTCTTGGATGGCTGACAAGAGTTTGGAAGCGAGCATGCGGCGCAAGCAACATGATGATTCCGAGCGCATGCTACATGGCTAATATGGGACGAAGCAGTCTGACACATCACGTCACTTTTGCGGCTGGTGGGCAAGTGATGTATGCCGGCGTGCCGAACCCGTTTCGCCATTGGACGCCCTTCAAGGGACGCTCCAATGCGTAAACATCATCTCCAATAGGGTTACAGCACCGACACACACATAATTGGATTGGACCCAGCCAAGCATCGAGCCAAAATGTGCGGAATGCACTGGGCTTTGCCCGTACTCTGCTTGTTTTTGGTTCAGCTCAGCTCGTTCGTTTGCACTTGGAGTTGCCGCCAAAGCTGGCCACCTCGCTGTGCAATTCATCTAAAAAGTTCCCTTTAGGGAAGGAAAAGGAAAGAGACATCGACTACTTTAACATCACCACCAGAGCTTGTTCAGCTCCCTTGAGCTACAGCATCACCATTTGCAGCTCTTCGGTGGCAAGCGCACCGATGAGCTTTCTACATCAACAGACTTCACTCCAGCTGAGTCATCAAGGTGCACAGCCGTAAAACCAGCGGTGTTGATCAAGGGAGCACAGCAACCTCCACCACCTCCTGTAAGGATATTGATGCAAATACCATCTTTGTCCTTTAAGTCGCATCCTTGATTGTGGTCATGACCATAGGCACACAACACTTTCACCTTTCCCTTACGCGCAGGTGGCAAGGAGTTCTCAAAAATGTCCCGGGGGCATTTTCCAGGGTAGTGCTGAATGATGAGAACAGTGTCAGCTTGGCCAGCCTTATTTTCAGCTGCCCGCTTCCTCAACAAATCCTCTCCAGATTCCGTCAGCTTCTGCAGGAAGGCCTGGGTGGTTGCCTGCCCACCGCACTTCTCGTCAGCTTTGGCCCGGCCTTTCTTCTCACCACCTATGATGGTGGGTTCCACTTTCGCATTTGTGTCCACCGCAATGACTTCGAGATTCGCCTCCGGAAGTTCATAGTGATAGTTGTAGTCTGGCAGCCAGTAATGCTCAGTGAAATGAGGTCGGTCTGGATACTTGTCCAAATTGAGTTGATGACTCGAATAGGGTTGGCCACCAACGATCTTCCGAGGAAACAAATGTGGGCAAAAGGCATGAGGATCGCTGTTCCCAAAGTCATGATTCCCATACCTATGAAAGGCAGCACATGAGCCGCAAACAAGTCAGAATCATGCGCAAATCTCACAGCTGACAGCTTCACTTTGCCACCAAGGTGCACAGACAGCCAGGGTACTCGGAAAAGCGGTGAGTTCGGATCATTTGCACCGTATGGCTGGGACCAGCTCCTCTCCCATGCCTCCGGAGCAGCTCTGGTCAGAAAAAGCTTGCCAATGCTCGTTGCATCTCGTTGCTCAAGAACACCTAGACTACAATGTTCTACAGTATATAACAGTATATACTATATACACATTGCTCGTTTCGTTTGAGCCTCTGGGGTAGCTCCAGTCCAGTAGAAGTTGTCCCCTACCGAGCCAATGAAAAGAAGATGCTTGCCGGCAGCTTTCTGCTCTGTGACGTACTCACGCAAGCGGGCTGCAACTGCCAGCTGACAACTCCCTGGACCACCAGCCTTTCCCCAGTCCCCGATAATCAAGAAGTAGTTTCTGCTGCGAAGACCTTGAACCTTGATCTTCAAGGGGTTGGAAGCATTGTATTGATTCACATACCTCTCAATCTTTGGCCGCGGTGGATAGAAGTGAACTGTTGTGGTGGTTGTTGTTGTGATAGGTTCGTGCCATCCATCGGCACTCCATCCATCAGCACTCCATCCATCGGCACCCCATCCATCAGTACTCCATCCATCTTCATAGCCACCACCACCGTACGGCTGAGGTTGAGGCTGACGCTCCCTGGAAATGCCTTTATCCTTTGGCCATCCTTCATTGAGGTGTTCATCAAATGAGTAGCCAGCGGGCTCTGAGTTCCATGCCCTATCACCATAGGCACTGCCTTGACCACCCAAATCTGAGTTCCATGCACTACCACTATAGGCACTGCTTTGACCACTCATGCCTGCATCATTGTTTCCACCAGCGTCCTGGTCATTGCTTCTGACATTGCCATAGCCAAACTCATTGCCATACGAACCGGAAGAAGCTACTGGCGAATCTGTTCCTTCCCAACCGCCTTCATCGTCCCAGTTCGGATCAGCAGTTGCGCTCCACTTGGGGTACTTGTGATGTGAGGAATCGAAGGCTTTTTCAAAGGAGAGATTCGATGAGATCAGTTGGTGTTCTTTGCGAAAGATCACGAAGCACAGCCCTAAGGCCACAAAAGCTCCAGCGGCTCCAAGCCTTGCAAACCACTTTGGGAAATGCCTGGGTGCCAGTTTTAACGGAAGAGAGAAAAACGAAACAAATCCACCGGGGAAAATGAGGGTGTGGTCTGTGGTATGGGATCAGAGGCAAGTCTTCAAACTGCACCAGCTTCGCTCCCAGACTCAAGTGGAAACACGGAAGGGAAAGCATGGCAAACACCGGTGTTGCGAAAACAAATGAAGCAAAACGGAAAGGCAAGTCAAGTTGATGTCCAATTCAGGATAAATATTCAATAGCGGCGTCTGTCTGAGAACAAACATTGGACACTGCAGCTCAACCTTAAGGAAAAAATAAAGAGTTGTATAATTGCCAATGATGCAACCGCTCTTGGAACACCAGCCTGTCATATATCATCAACCTATCGCCCTCTTGAATAGTTCAATATTTTACTGCATGGAAGTGTTCTGTGGGCCATTGCTTCAAGATGCTGCTCGGGGTTGTTGGAACTGTGCAGTGGGATGTCATCTGGGCCACTTAGCAGGAGCTCTTCGTCACCAACCAGGGGCATGCAGCTGCCTTCTCCTTCCTCCGACATATCAGCCGCAAGCAGGCTCACCACGAGTGCAAGACTTTCACAGCAAGAGTTCAGAGTAGTTAGACCATGTTAAGATCAGCTGAGGTGGAAGTGCGTGAAAAGATTGCAGGGAGTGTTTCGGTGACCAAGGGCCAAGCGTTGAGGTTAAGCCTTCAAGTGTGTCTGCTTATAACGTGAGTCGCTTGAGGTTCAATTCATGATGATGGCAAGTAAACAGTTTTTGACATGACTGGGAAACATAAAGCAATAGTTTTGCTCAGCAGCTCTGGCTCCTTTTCAGATCGCCCAGCACTGTGAATTGAGCCCGGAAGACAAATGTCAATGTGGGCACGAATTGAGTCTCTATGGGTATCAAAGTGGCCTTGCCGGTAAGTGTCCAAGCTGTCCGAGCTGTGGATCGAGCTTTGCTGGCAGTCGCCAGCCAACACGAGAGCCAAGAAACAAATGGCATGATCCTTTACAGGATCCTATAGAAACATCCCACTCACGGAGAGTTCTATGTTGCAGTGATCAAACCTGTGGCAAACTCGCCTGGCACTGCATCAAACACAAACGCAACATTGACTTGTGCACCGACCGCCTCCCAAGAATCCATCCAAAGGCCCTTGTCAGAATCAAGCATATCTCACCATCGCAAACATTGCACATCTGTACTGTGTAACCATTGTGCTTGCACAAGGCGTACATCGGCATTCATTAGCGGATGCCAGTGGCTAGACTACACTTGAACCGATCATGATATGTTCTTGATAAGAATCGGTCCCCGCATACTTGAGCAGCTGCAGCTACATTGGACGAAGGCTACAGCGGCTACAGGCATTTCATATCATTTCATCATGCCTGCCATGGATGCTGCATTCTTTCAATTAGAGAAGGGCAGTTGCGGACGCACATTTTGGCATTGGTGCTTCACTCTCTGAATAGATTCAACAAGGAGCCGAGGCATAGGTCCTAGGTAGCAAGTCTGCATTAATTAAATTGACCGGGCCCATGATTATTTTCAATTGACGTCGATTGGGGAACAAACACTCATGGCGCTTGACTAGAGGGTAGTCATCGCTTCAATCGGCGGGTGCAAAGTGCGAAACTGTTCCAGCATCGCATTCTTAAACTGGACATGCAAGTGGCCCGAATTCTAACGTGCAACACCTTGCAGTCCTAACTCACCACGGGAGCCAGGACATCATTCTTCTCCGCTTCGCCTTGGAGCACTTCAGGCTGAGCCATGTTCCGAAGGGGCCATACTCCCCGAAAGCCAAGTTGACTATACAACCCTTCCAAAATCTTCAATGAAAATCATAGATATATATATACAGTAATAACAACTATTGTGTATATATATATATGTCCTGAATACGTTGACATAGTGAGTGACTGTGCCAACGGCCGTAACAGGCCGCTGATTCTGCTTTGTTTGTTGACGATGACGATGGCAATGATGATGCTGATGCTGATGCTGATGATGATGATGATGATGATGATGATCGCTCAAAAACCTTTTGGAGCCACTGCACGCAGCCAATCCCGGTGAAACATGCAATTGCCTGAAGATGTTTAAACAGCAAAGGCTTGTCAACATGTTGGTCTTTGTACTATCTATCAGCACCGCTCAACAATGCCAGGATCTTGTTCAAGCGGTCAATGTCCTCGAAAATGCGCAATAGCAAGCCACCTGGATAAGGAGTCACAGCAGCAGGGCTGTCCTCTTCGCCATCACCACCTCCAATTCGCCACTCTTTGGCCCTGGTGCTGCGAAAGGGTTCCGCTTTGGAAGAAGCTTCCGTTCCATCCGCCGAAGCAATCACAGCCAAAACTAAGCGAATGTGCTAGGTCATTGCAATGCTTTCTCAACCATTCTCAACGACCAACTGTAAATCCTTCATGGCCCGACTCTGAATAGCAGCCTCACACACATACATACAATGCAAAATCCCCCATGCTCGTGCCAGCGCCTTTGGCTGACAATATCACTGGGTGTTCCTGCACTCTGGTGTTACAGACAGAGATCCAAGGAGAAAGCAAAACCACATACCCGTGTACCGCTCATATCGAATCTCCTATTGTGGGTTTTTCCCGAGAGCATTGCGAAGGGTTCTCCCAGAAAATCCCTTGAACACTGACACTTCGACACTTACACTCACACACTGACACTTCCACCACACTTGCACTACTACTTGCACTACAACATGAACGCTATACGTACCCCAGTGTTACGTACCCCAGTGTAAGTGGAAGAGCGAAAGCATCCAAGTGCAAAGTATGCAAGTGTAATGATGCAAGTGCGATGATGAGTATGCAAGCATGCAATGACTATGCAAGCATGCAATGAGTGTGAGCATGGAAGAACAGCGTCAAAACACTAGCACGGGAAATGTCCTAATGAAAAACATTTCCCCACTTTATAAATGCTCTCTTAAAGGCGGAGGGTGGGACGAACAGCGTCAACCGAAAGTGCAACCCTCTGCGGAGATCGTGCGCGTCGAGTGCGCGAAATGCAGGCGAGAGTGCGATTTGTCCGGTGCTCGCGCAACCCTCTGCGGAGATCGTGCGTGTCGAGTGCGCGAAATGCAGGCGAGAGCGCGATTCGCCCGGTGTGCGCAACCCTCTGCGGAGATCGTGCGTGTCGAGTGCGCAAAATGCAGGCGAGAGTGCGATTGGTGCGGTCCGCGCGCAACCCTCTGCGGAGATCGTGCGTGTCGAGTGCGCGAAATGCAGGCGAGAGTGCCGCGCGTCGGCTGCCCGCGCAACGATCTGCGGAGATCGTGCGCGTCGAGTGCGCGAAATGCAGGCGAGAGTGCGATTTGCCGGCTGCCCGCGCAACCCTCTGCGGAGATCGTGCGTGTTGAGTGCGCGAAATGCAGGCGAGAGCGCGATTTGTCGGCTGCGCGCGCAACCCTCTGCAGAGATCGTGCGTGTCGAGTGCGCGAAATGCAGGCGAGAGTGCGATTTGTCCGGTGCGCGCGCAACCCTCTGCGGAGATCGTGCGTGTCGAGTGCGCGAAATGCAGGCGAGAGTGCGATTCGTCCGGTGCTCGCGCAACCCTCTACGGAGATCGTGCGTGTCGAGTGCGCGAAATGCAGGCGAGAGTGCACGTGATTGAGTCTGTGCGCGCGCAACCCTCTGCGGAGATCGTGCGTGTCGAGTGCGCGAAATGCAGGCACTGGCGACTTTGTATAGTGCAACTTTGTACGCGGAGCCATCTGTGGAGCTGGAAGCTGAGAACTGGCGACTTTGTAGTACAACTTTAGTGCGCGGAGTATCTGGGGAGCTGGAAGATGAGAACTGGCGAAGTTGTAGTACAACTTTAGTACGCGGAGTATCTGGGGAGCTGGAAAATGAGAACTGGCGACTTTGTAACTTTGTAGTACAACTTTAGTACGCGGAGCAATCTGCGGAGCTGGAAGCTGAGAACTGGCGACTTTGTAGTACAACTTTAGTACGCGGAGTATCTGGAGAGCTGGAAGATGAGAACTGGCGACTTTGTAGTGCAACTTTAGTACGCGGAGTACCTGGGGAGCTGGAAGATGAGAACTGGCGACTTTGTAGTACAACTTTAGTACGCGGAGCAATCTGTGAAGCTGGAAGCTGAGAACTGGCGACTGTGTAGTACAACTGTAGTACGCGGAGCAATCTGTGGAGCTGGAAGCTGAGAACTGGCGACTTTGTAGTACAACTTTAGTACGCGGAGTATCTGGAGAGCTGGAAGATGAGAACTGGCGAAGTTGTAGTACAACTTTAGTACGCGGAGTATCTGGGGAGCTGGAAGATGAGAACTGGCGAGTTTCTAGTACAACTTTAGTACGCGGAGTAGCTGTGGAGCTGGAAGCTGAGAACTGGCGAGTTTCTAGTACAACTTTAGTACGCGGATGAGTTGTCTCTCGCGGCTGAGTCATCTCTCGCGGCTGCTCTGGCGCCCCTGCAGCTGAGTCATGTCTCCCGACCACCCGGCTCTCTTGAGAGGTTGACGCACACACACAGAGACCCACGCACTGCCTCAACTTACTCGGACACACACACAGACAGAGACTCATACACACACAGACATAGATACACACACACAGAGACCCACACACTGCCTCAACTCACTCGACTTAACACTTCACACTGAACACTTAACAGATAATTCACACTCTGACTTCCTACGTGATGAAAAATGCTTTCGGGCCACTCGTCGTCTAGTTCTATTGACATGTCCAATATAGCCAATAGACATTTGTTTGCCCTTGTGGATCTTGTATGATCATGTTGTGTTCTCTGTGTAAACCATGCTTTCTGCCCGCATGTAGGATGCGCTCCTCCCGAACTCATTAAGCATGCATCAGCTCGCGCTTCCAGCAAAAGCTGCGCAACCTGGAATGCCCGTCAACAAAACCGCAACACGGCTGTGTGGACGAGTGTGACAATGACAACATATGGCCGCAACAATAAATATGTGCAGGCTTGCTGCATGCTGCGCTATGTGCCAAAAGTGTTGGCACCTCAACGTGGGCATCGTACGCCGCCATATGCAAGGCTGTGCGGTTGCCAGCATCTTCCACGGAAAGATCGGGGTTGGCACCTCCAAATGCTGAGCAGAACTCAATAGTTGATATCATATCAATCCTTAGGATACAGTATCTCTAGGCCACTTCTAAGGCTGTTGAAGAACAGAAAGGAGCGCTCTCAGCGCCGCGTTTTTGCATGTCTTTGATCGAACTATTAAGTCCACTGTTCCCTCACACCTTGCCTGAGGTTTCTCCTCACCTCAATCTTTGTCAGCATTGTTGCTTTCCAAGTAAATTCGCACAAACACAACAACAAACAACTCAATTGTGAGAGGACTTTGCCCCTCCTTCACCCCAATCTTTGCCAGCAACGGTGCTTTTCAAAACAAACTTGAGATCTGTGGAGTTCCAAGGAAAATCATTCCAAAACAACATCAAAAATACCAATAATAGTCATAGTGGAAGCTAAATGATCCTGTCCACCTATCAAAAAACACGCCTCCCCCCCCCATTAAGAGAAACTCGGTCGCATTTTTGTTAATAGGGGGTCCCGGAAATCGGGGGGGTCCAAAATAGGGTCACCTGGGAAGAGCCTCGAAGCCAAAAAGTCATCAATTTTTTTAATATACAACTTTTTTTATTAAGCTCGTATCAAAAATTCAAAAAACCTCCAGATCGAAGGGTCGTCCTTTTCCCCTACACAAGCTTTTATTGGAATACTGATTCTTCATAAGACTAACAACCAAAGCTTTCGAAAGGCCATGTCGATGTGCCATGCGGGTTTGCACGACCTCGGTGGAAAGTGCGTTTGCGTGCGTCCGTGCCATTGGAGGAAGGAACACCTGCTGGTGTAAACGCGGCGTGTCGTCACGGTGGATACACAGGGCGGACAGATGTGGGCAGTTACGGTTGTTTTTGGAACCTAATAAAAGAAACTACCCCCAAACATCGACCATGTTGGTAGTTCAGTAGCGGGCTGAAAGGGCGGCAATTGAAAATAAGCCGAATTGAGGGTTTCGGACGTGGTGTTTCTTTAATTGGGGATGCTCTTTTAATAGGTACTCTGGATTACACTTTAGCAAACAAACATAGATCCAAATCCAAAAAAAAATACATTAACACGGAACGCGGACAAGCCCCAAGTAGCCTAACATAGAATAGGAGTCCAAAACGTCTCTCCAGAATGAAATTTCTATGTTAGTCTCATGTCCCTCTGTCCGAGCAAGTTCTATGTTAGTCTCGGTTCCCTGTGTCCACACATCCTCCCTCCCTTCAAAAAGGGCGAGAACAGGTATTATAACTATACCTGTGACATTTGTACGGGAAGTGCTTCCACTTGTTGGCTTTGCTGTTTTTGTTCACGTTCACTCGGTACTGTAGCCCTCTTTGGACTTCAGTATGGTCTGCACCGTGCTACTGTACTGTAAGAAGAGCCAGCAAGTACTGTACCATTGCTGTGCTGTACTGACAGAATCAATCACGCAGCGTTAACATAGAGCACGGGGTGACATTTCTCTACCTCAGTGCAGCTTACTGTACTGTATCTTGAAGGATGGAAGCCATTTGTGTGGGGACCCCTTTCCGAGGCCAAAACAATCATTTCTGGTGGCAGTTGAGTAAAATATTTTATACAACATGTTCAAGTGTTGGTTTGGCTGTTTTGGTTCACCCACTGTGAATACTAGGTAGCCAACTTTGGACGACAAGTGCTGTACTGTAAGAATGGCAGCCAATACTGTATCATGAACGTACCGACAGAATCACACACAGCCGTAACATAGAACACGGGGTGACATTTCTGGGAAGTACTCTACCTCATT